ATAAAGGATGTGGTGGTTTGAATGTAATTGATCCCCATAATCTCATAAGGAGTGACACTATTAGGAGATGTGGCTTTGCTGGAGTGAGTATGGCCTTGTTGGAGGACTTGTACCACTGTGTGGGTGGACTTTGATGTTTCCTATGCTCAGGATACCGCCCAGTGTCTTAGTAAACTTCCTGTTGCCTGCAAGATGTAGGACTTTAGGCTACTCCTCCAGCACCACATCTACCTGCATGCAGCCATGCTCCCTGTCATGATGATAACGGACTGAACCTGTAAGCTGCCAACTTAATTAAGAGTTGCTGTGGTCACAGTGTCCCTTCACAACAGACACCCTAAATAAGACAGAGGAGGATAAGAAGCTGCCAGTGATCTCGTGGTAAAGTGAAAGGGTGTGGTAACTAGTTAGCGGCAGACATGGAGAGAAGGGTTACAGGTGCTGAGAGCTCTGTGTGGGTGGTGGTCACACAGAGGTATGAGGAAGAGGGTTAAGGCAGGTGTGGTGGTGCATGCCTTTAAGTCCCAGACTCTGACGGCTGAGATAGGAGAGCTGCTGCAGCAGGACTTTCTTCTCAGAACCTTTAGCCCACAAATAACAACATGGGACTTCTTATTAATTATAAAAGCTTCGCCTTAACTTAGACTTGTTCCTAACTAGTTCTTATAACTTACATCAACCAGCAATTTTTAATCTACATTCTCCCACAAGGCTCACTTCTTCACTGCCTGTCCTACTTCCTCCATATCTGGATGGTGAGTCTACCTTTCTTCCTCCCTGAGCTCTCTCTCTGCCCAAAGTCCCTACTCTATCTCCTGCCTAGCTATTGGCCATTCGGGTTCTTATTACACCAGTCACAGCAACACATCTTCACACAGTGTACAAATAGCCCACAACAGACTGCCATGAGTTTGAGGCTAGCCTGGGCTACATAGTGAGTTTGAAGCTAGTCTGGCATGCACAGTGAAATCCTGCCTCAAAACAAGACAGGTAAGAGGGACAGCAGATTTTCAGAGGCATGCAGAACTTGAGGGGAAGTTTGAAGAACAGTACAGCATGTTCTGAGAAGGATTTCTGTAAAGTCTCCCCAGAGTCTTCTCTATGCCAAGGCAACTTCCCACCAGCTCCTCTAGTGTAGGACCAGGACTGTCACTCTGTACAGGGATCTCGGACAGTTCCTTATCTAACTTCCCATACATAAGTTCCCTTGTGATCTTTACCTATTTCTCTTTGTACCCTCAGCATCTCTGCAACTTGCTATGTGAACCAGGCTGCCCTCCAACTCTGCCTCTGCTTCTGTTCTGGGATTAAAGGTGTGTACCATCATGCCTAGCTCCCCATCCCACCCCCCACCCACCCCACCCCCCCCTTTTTTTTAAAGCAGAGCAAACAGATTTGAGAAGTGAGAAAGAACTCCTGAGAGTGGTAGAGTCTCCAAGGGAGAAATGCCCATTTAATGTTTCTCAAAGCCATGTGCCAAGGGAGGTGTGTTTATTCTGAGATGCTCTGTAGGGAACAAGAGGCATGGAAATGCCTCTTAGTACATACCATAAGTCAGTGTTTCTGCACAGAGCCCTGCTTTTAGACAGCCTGGGCTGGCCTTCTTTCACTTGGTTCATCCCATCAATGTGAAGATTCCAGACTTAGCTGTCTTTGTAGTAACCACCTTCCCCCGGCATGCTAGGTTTTTCTAGAGGATTCTTTGGATGTGACTTCTAAGGAAGGTTACTTCTTACACTTGGGTGGCTTCACAGCTTTCGTGCTCATCTTACTGAAAGGAGACACCGCTATGGCTGCAGCTCTCGTACACAAGTCATGTTCAATGTTTTTTATGATTTTAAAAATATTCTGATAGTTATCATTTTTGCTTTTTTCTTCTTTAAAATGAATTAGTTGAAATGCTGAGCATGTCAATTCCAACTGACCCAGTGCTGTCTGGGCCTCCCCTTCCCCTTACACCTTACCTGTTCAGAACCCTCCAAGGTTTTAAGCCTGTCATCCACCCAGCCCCCTTCCCCAAAGACAGTGGCTATCTGAACCCCCTCTGGTGGACCACCTTGTCTAAGTGTTCCAAGACTCGAGCAAACACCACATTTTCTGTTTCCAGGTTCATACAGGAGCTGCCTTACAGAGTCCTCCAACAGAGACAGAAGTGGTGATGGTTTGACTTATGAGCATGTCCTTTGGAACCCGTACACTCCACACTACTCACTCTTGCACCTCACGACTGACGGAAGTGTAACACTGACTTTGTGAGATGGAATGTCCACCAACATAGTGTGTGGATCAACAGCTACACTTTCAGCCTTGTTTGGGGACTTGACAAAGGGATGGAATGGGATGAAGGCAAACATGGAGTCAGGAAGCCAAGCAGGATATAATGCCAGTAGGTTACATGTTCGGTGCACAAGCACAGGGACCCGATTCATATTCCCAGAACCCTCATTTTTAAAAAGCCGGGTACAGTGCTGCATGTGTGTAGTCTCACCGCCATGGAGACGGAGACTAATGGATTCCTGGGGCCAGCTGGTAAGTTCTATACCAACAAGAGACATTGTGTTCTCAAACAACATGGATGACTCCTGCAGAGGGACACCCAAGTTTGTCCTTTACCTTAGATACCCAAACACACATACACACACACCCCAAATAAGTGAACATAACTTCAGGAATGAACATTTAATCATGTGTTACTGTCAGTTCACGTGGAAATGGAACATTCTTTACAGTGTCCATCAAGATGATCTACCAAGGTCATGGACTTTGGGTGATTTTCTAATCTAGGTCTGTAAGAAAGAAAGAAAATTATGTAAAAATGGGGGGAGAGAATTAAAATAGTGAATATGGTAAAAAAAACATTTTGGCATATTTCCCTCTCACTTTCAAGAAGTTGTCATTTAGGATCAAAATATGAGACAGTAAAATGATGAAACTTTTCAACACAAAGTGTGTGGACCATCCTCAGTGAGGACCATCCTCAGAGTGGACCATCCTCAGTGTGGACCATCCTCAGTGTGAACCATCCTCAGTGTGAACCATCCTCAGTGAGAACCATCCTCAGTGTGAACCATCCTCAGTGAGGACCATCCTCAGTGTGGACCATCCTCAGTGTGAACCATCCTCAGTGTGAACCATCCTTAGTGTGAACCATCCTCAGTGTGAACCATCCTTAGTGAGGACCATCCTCAGTATGAACCATCCTCTGTGAGGACCATCCTCAGTGTGGACCACCCTCAGTGTGAACCATCCTCTGTGAGGACCATCCTTAGTGAGGACCACCCTCAGTGTGAACCATTGTCAGTGAGGACCATCCTCAGTGTGAACCATCCTCAGTGTGAACCATCCTTAGTACCATCCTCAGTATGAACCATCCTCTGTGAGGACCATCCTCAGTGTGGACCACCCTCAGTGTGAACCATCCTCAGTGTGAACCATCCTCTGTGAGGACCATCCTTAGTGAGGACCATCCTCAGTATGAACCATCGTCAGTGAGGACCATCCTCAGTGTGAACCATCCTCTGTGAGGACCATCCTTAGTGAGGACCATCCTCAGTATGAACCATCATCAGTGAGGACCATCCTCAGTATGAACCATCGTCAATGTGGACCATCGTCAGTGTGGACCACCCTCAGTGTGAACCATCCTCAGTGAGGACCATCCTCAGTGTGAACCATCCTCAGTGTGAACCATCCTTGATGCATGTGAATAAAATACTGGGCCACAATCTCATTATATTTAATAGAGTCCTTAAAATTTACTTAGGTCAAGATTCAGTTTTAAAATAAAAACCTACAAAACCTCCTGGAAAGTGAAGAACTAGGAGCAAAATCAGACATGGGGTGTGGGGGTGTGTGAAGATGGCTCAGTGACTGAGAGCACTCGCTGCTCTTGCAGAGGACAGAGTTGGGTTCCTAGCACTCATGGCAGGTTTCTGTCAATATCCTGTAACTCCAGACCCAGGGGGGTGCAAAGCCTCTGCTTCTGTGGTCATCTGCAACCACATGTGCACACCCACACAGAGACATATACATACATGAAATAAAAACATATTTCAAAAAGCTAGCCATCTGGGACTGTTTTCAATCCCAAAGTTCCACTGCCAGAGACAACTGGACAAATCAGCACTGTAAATTTGAGAAGATGCAGAGGAAGTCTCACTGCACTGAAGAGTGCACTGAGGTTAGAGGTTACTCAGGACCAGAGTTTGTCATGGCTGAAGCCTGCAGGGCTCTGGAGTTTTCACACAGATGGACATAGCAGCTGGGGAGTGCCTTGTCACCTCTTTCCCTTATTTCACAGTCAATAAATCCGTATAAATAAACTCCAAATTCAGTGTAAAAATAAGCTATATGATAAGTGAAAAAGTGTCTCAACTGGTAAATGTATAAAATGGTATAAAAATACTCTTAAATGCTTCTAGAAAAAAACTTCTCTAGTGTATTTCTACAACTCAGAGAAAATTCAGGCTGTTTTGGAAATCAAAACTGAACAGAATTAAACTAGTGTTTGCAAAGTGATCATATAAAATAATTGATTTTTTCCCTAAATTTCCAGTTTTAGTATATGTACTGCTGAAACTAGGACCCAACTCTATACTGACAGTCAACCTAAAAGATTGTGTATGTGTCCTGTAGCATTGGGTTACATGACTGACTACCTGGCTGCATGACTCAGACTTTTTCTAAAATTACAGACTTTAAGATTTCATGTTACTAGCCGGGCGGTGGTGGCGCACGCCTTTAATCCCAGCACTCGGGAGGCAGAGACAGGCGGATCTCTGTGAGTTCGAGACCAGCCTGGTCTACAAGAGCTAGTTCCAGGACAGGCTCCAAAACCACAGAGAAACCCTGTCTCGAAAAACCAAAAAAAAAAAAAAAAAAAAAGATTGCATGTTACTGAAAGGAGTCAGTTTACAGACATGGAAAAGGGGATAAGCACCTCAGCTCATAACCCTGGCAGTATCTTGCTTATAGCTGCTATGAGGGCTGGCTGCGGCCTTCTAACTTGCAACTTGGTAGGTGGAACGTGCCTGTAATCTCAAAACATGGGAGCACTTAGTGAAGGGTTTTGTGTTGTCATCTGTGCTGCATAGCAAAAAATAGTTCAAAAAACAGTCAACCCAGACATAAGACCATCTCTAATATAAACAAAACTTGTTTCTGACACAGTATCTTGCTAAACTTTGCAGGTAAGCCTCCAGAAATAGCTCAGGATTTTAGATATGTGCCACTCTGTAAGGCCTACAAGAAAACTTGGATCAAACAATATTTTATACTAGAAAAATATGAAATACTTCATTTTTATCCTAAAGATTTATTTTTTATAAAGGAATGAAAACTTACCTTGGCCTTCTGGCTTTCTCTTTAGGCATTCTAATTAAATCTTCCAAATGTCTGTTTCTCTCTTCCAAACTGAAGGAAGAAACAATTGCATTTTACACAAAAATGGACTTTTCAAGATGAATATTTTTTAAAGATTTATTAATATACAGTACTCTGCCTACATATATTCTTACAGGCCAGAAGAGGGCACCAGATCTCATTGCAAATGGCTGTGAGCCACCATGGTTGCTGGAAATTGAACTCAGTACCTTTGGAAAAGCAAGCAGTGCTCTTAACTGCTGAGCCATCTTTCCTGCACCTCAAGATAAATATTTTGTAGATTCTCTGGAGGCTGTCTTAGTTACTATTTTACTGCTGTGAAAACACACCATGACCACGGCAACTCTTATAAAGGTAAGCATTTAATTGGGGGCTTGCTTACAGTTTTAGAGGGTTGGTGCCTCATCATTATGGCTGGAAGCAGGCAGGCATGGCACTGGAGTAGTAGCTGAGAGCTTTACGTCCTGATCCATCAGCAGCAGGCAGAGGGAGACAGACACTGGGCCTGGCATGGGCTTTTGAAACCTCCAAGCCCATCCCCAGCGACACACTTTCTTCAACAAGGCCACACCTCCTAATCCTTCCTAAACAGTTCTACTAACTGAGGACCAAGCATTCAAAGCTATGAGGCTATGAGGCCATTCTCATTTAAACCACCACAGAGACTGTGAGTCAGTACTGTCAGGATTATGAGCTAAAATTGTTACCTATAATACAATTACCCTGTTAAATATTTTATGATCAGATTTTCTCATAACTAACATTAAATCCAAAGCTAATCATACATAATCTGTCTGTCTCACTATACAGGAATCTGGGTCTTTTCCTGGCAATTCAGAATATGTGGTCAGTTTTTTCCTTTTTAGGTTACAGGGCTAAAGATAAGACTAGATAATGGCAAATCCATAGCATGCCATTTAGGTATTGTTTGTTTGCAATAAGGTCAGTGTAATATAGCTCTGGAGTATGTGTATTAACAGAGTTCCTTATCTGGGGCTGCTTTACCACAGGAAAAGCAGCAAGGTCAGAGGCCAGGCTGGGCTCCTAAACCAGTGGCGTCCCCATGCGAAATGAGTAATAAAGCAGCTTATTCTGAACCAGGTCCTGAATTAGTTCATCCTAAACACACACCCTAGTTTTCCTACTTCTAAGAGTCAGGGTAAAAGATCTTAGAAGCCAGAGGATGAAATAAAACATCAATTAATATTCACAAAATTTAAAAGATTAGTTTTATTAACTCACTGTGCAATCTGAGAATGGGATATCTCAAGTCTTTGATCAGCACACTTGATAATTTCTTCATATGATGTTACCTTGAGAAAATAAGTATATATTTTTTAATAAATACAAATATTTGTGTTTAATTTGATTACCTTCTCCTTTTTTAAAATCTTTACAAGTTGAGCCGGGCAGTGGTGACAGATGTCTTTAATCCCAGCACTCAGGAGGCAGAGGCAGGTAGATCTCTGTGAGTTGGAAGCCAGCCTGGTCTGCAGAGTGAGTTCTGCAACAGCCAAGGCTACACAGAGAAATCCTGTCTCAAAACAAACAACAACAAAAAACTTTTACAAGTTGAAGTTGAATTGTTTGATTACAATAAATGAAAATCACACAAGAGACCACGCATCCTTTTCTATTTTGATCTCAGGAGATGAGCATCAATGAGTTGGTCTGGAAATGGGAGTCCCAGAAACTTGACAGCTCCAGCGAGCGCACTGTGATCTGCCTGTCTTCCAATGATACCAATGATACAAGGCCAACTAAGGATTACAGCCTATTTGGTTAAAATCAGTGCAGTCCTTATTTGTGTGTGTGTGTGTGTGTGTGTGTGTGTGTGTGTGTGTGTGAGGGCTGAGGCAGTAAAATGTGAGATTCCAAGGCCAGCCTAGGCTGCGCGTGGAGACACTATCTCAAAAGATCAAAATGAAAACAGAAAGTGAACTAAAACACTAAATTGGAAAGATACTTAATTGCTTTGAGGGTAAAGTAGGGAAATTAAGATTTAAAGTGCCTGGAGCAAGGTTCTTGCCCACTTTCCAGCTATCCAGCTAATAGGGGTATTTAATGTGCTTACGAGGTAAAAGGGCTTGGCAAACCTCATATCCTTTTAGCTCAGGAGTTCCATTAGCTCTGTGTTTGGTTTTGTTTTTAGTTTTTCGAGACAGGGCTTGGTTTTTCTGTTGCTTTGGAGCCTACCCTGGAACTAGCTCTTGTAGACCAGGTTGGCTTCGAACTCACAGAGATCCACCTGCCTCTGCCTCTCACGCGCTGGATTAAAGGCCTACGCCACCACTGCCCAGCAAGAGTTCTGTTAGCTCTGACATGATGTTTGTGTTGAACTTGGTTTGGTTTTTGTACTGAGGACCAAACCCAGGGCACACATTAGGCAGGTGCTCTGCCAGTTGAGCCACATCCCCATCATTTATTGATCCTGGCGTCATTTTTTGATGGTTTTGTTTGCTTGTTTTCCTGTCAGAAAACATGTACCTTATTTATTAAGCTGCCTACATGTCTCCGGTACTTGTCATTCTCCTCGATGAGTCTGCTGTAGTGGTCTTCTTTGCTCTCTAGAAGGCCCCCCAACTTTGTGATCTATGGAGAAACATCAGTGAAAATGTAACCTGGAAACCACCGTGAAACAGGTGTGAAAAATGAAAAGAGCTACATTTTAGTCCAATATCTCTGAAACTGAGTTCCACTTAAGTGAGTCGTGACATAGACGAGCTGGATCTGGGGGTAGATTGCATACGGAACACACTGGCAGGAATTATGATGGACTTTCATTGATTCTGTTATTTCTTATATGAAATGGCTTTGTCAATAACCAAGCATCTGCTACGGACATTAACCACATCCTACTTTCCCACCATCCCTTGCGTAGATGACACATGCAGGGACACGTTTGAGTCTGAGGCAGAGCAGTGGTGTGGGTGGTGATACATGAGACAGACCTTCCCTTGCAAATGATGCTCGTCTCTAAGTTCCAGCTTAAAGTATATCATGGTCCAGCCTATTGTCCAGTTTTTGCAAGAATATTACTGAAAATTAATGACTATAAGGTTGGCAAGATGGCTTAGTGGGTAAAGACCCCTGCAGCCACAGCTGGTGACTTGAGTACTAAACCCTTAGATTCATGAGGAAAGGGGAATCAACTCCTGCAAGTTGTCCTCTGCCTCCATGTGTGCCTTGGCACTTTGCATGCCAGTATGGTTTTACACACACACACACACACACACACACACACACACACACACCCCAAATGTAATAAAAGTTTTAAGTAAAAAATTAATTTTTTTTCTGAAAGGGGCATTTAGGGTCATCAGGAAACCTTATTAATATTTTCTTCGCAAGTTTCTTTCTTTTTTATTTTTTTTCTCAAGACAGGGTATTTCTGTGTAACAGTCATAGTTGTCCTGGAACTAGCTCTTGTAGACCAAGCTGGTCTCGAACTCACAGAGATCCACCTATCTGAGTGCCGGGATTAAAGGCGTGTACTATCACCACCCGGCAAATTTTCAAAGCAATATCAGAAGAAAAACTAGAGAAAACTTCTCAATAAGTAGCAGTGCTAAGAGTAATTTCCAGCCTTCTCACACTTGAAGTATACTTCTGTGTCTGCAGAGGACCCGTGCTGGAGAAACTGCAACACCCCATTCCTCTCTCTCTCTTCCTTCCCTTTCCATTCCAGGCATATATGAAGAACCAAGCACCTACAGTGTGTGATGTGTGAGCTCTGCTTCCAGGCTATTTTATTGTATATTATTTTTTAATTTGGAGGCAGGGTCTCCCTAAGTTGACCAGGCTGGCTTTAAATTCAATTTATATATATCCTAAATTAGACTCAAACTTGAAACCCTCCTTCCCCAGTCTTCAGGGTTATGGGATTTTAGGCATGTGTCTCCACTTTTTTTCTCTTTCAAAGGTTAATGGCTATGCAGCAACTATTGTGCATATTTCTGCTTCTAAGTGGTTTAGAAATACAAGGATAGACACCTGTGCTATACCAGAGACCTTGTCAGTCTTTGTCATTATAGTGAGACCCATAGGGCTTTCTAGTATTATTCAAATTTTATTTGTGGCACAATGTAATAATCTAACATACATAATCTATAGTGATAAAATTAGAACAGTTCAGATTTCCACCTTCATAGACTTTAAAAAAAAAAAATCTTTGCTGGGTAGTGGTGGCTCATGCCTTTAATCCCTGCACTCCGGAGGCCAAGGCAAACAGTTCTGAGTTCCAAGGTAGCCCGATCTACAGAGAGAGTTCCAGGAGAGCCAGGGCTACACAGAGAACCCCTGTCTCGAAAAACGAAACAAAACAAGCAAACAAACAAAAAACCTTTGATCATCATGTAAGAGTGATACATATTTATGCAGCTGAAGGGGTGGAACAGGAGGGTATTATAGTAAATGAAATAAGTCAGACCCAGGAAGGTAAACACTGTAAGTTCTCTTTGATAGAAATATGCTTTTAAACAGTTAAAGTGAATGTGTGGTGGTGATATCTAGAGGGAGGGAAGAATAGAGGAGAAGACGGAACGGTAGGGGGTTGGATAACAGGTATCAAAATACAGTAGTAATAAGATCCAGTGTTCGCAGCAGCATGCAACATATTCTACAAATAACCAGAAGGGAAGTGGCCAAAACTCCAAACACAAAGTTATGGTAAAAAGAAAGCTTTGATTATTGCACATTGTATATGTATATTAAAATATATTATAGAAAAAAGAAAAATATTATATTGTACCAACTCAGTGTTTTTAAAACAATGTCTTACACCCAAATCATGTTTTCATTTCCTCCTATTTTTTTGCATTCTCTTTCTGTGCCACCTGATGTGAACTAAGTTATTTTCAACCACAGTTATTCAATGCAGCTATTATAGCAGAATACACAAAAGTGTAAGTGTGGTTTAGCCATAGTGAAAAGTAGCTCTATTTTGGAGAGCTGTTCATGGTGTGTATCTGTAAGCCTAGAACTTCAGAAGCTGAGGTGGGCTACCCTGATATGAAGGCTGGCTTGAACTACACAGTAAGATCCCATCTTGAAAAAATAAATGAGTGGCCGAAGAGACAGCTCAGCAGTTAAGAGCGCTTTTGGTGCTCTTTCAGAGGACTCAAGTTTGGTTCCCAACACCCATATCAGGGAGTTCGTAACCAACTAGAACTTCAGCTCCCAGTGATCTAACACCCTCTTCTCACCTCTGAGGGCACCTGTATGGATTTCATACACATATGTGTATACATACAAAATAAACAATATTTTTTTTCAAGTAAAACGAAGAGAGGGATATAGCTAGTGGTAGCAGTAGCATGCTTGTCTGTAGGGGGTAAGCTTTGGGTTTGATGCTTAGAATTAGGGAAAATAAAAGCATGTTGATCTTTTGGCTTCTGCATTTTGAAAGGCATACATTTTACTAGTATAAATACAAATCAAGTTGGACAACATTTAAATTTTTTATAATTATTTTTACAATTCATTTTTATTTTTATTTTATGTGTATGGATGTTTTGTCTGCAAACATCTATATGTAACTTGCATGCCTGGTACCTAGAGAGGCAAGAAAAAGGCATTGGATCTCTTGGAATTGGATTTATAGACAGTTGTGAGCTATCTTGTGAGGGAATTAAACCTGGGTCCTCTGGAATTACAGCTTAACCACTGAGCCATTTTTTCAATTTTAAAACATGAAAATACTTCTATACTTTTATTGGTAATGCTGCCACAGTGCCAGTATGACTATTTTAATGAGCAATACTTTGAAGGTTGATAACTTTTTAAAATGTGTTGGATGGCATTGGGTATAAAAGGGAGCATAACATAATATATTGGTCTGTCTTACCAAGAAATCAAGCTCCTCATTTAGATTGTGGTATTTATCCAGTTTGACTGCCAATAACACAGGTGCATCTCTGGCATTCCTGGCTTCGTCCACATCAAAATTTGTGACCTGAGATTAAATATGTTTGCACACATTATAGTAGTTACACACTCCTATCATTTCACAGTGTCATTGAGAATCAAAGATGGGGGCTGGAGAAATGATTGGCAGTTAAGAGAATTTGCTGATCTTGCAGAGGTCCCAGGTTCACTTCCCGGCACTACATGGTGGCCTCACAAACATCTGTAATCAGTTCCATGGGAGCTAATGCCCTCCTCAGGCACTGCGTACATGTGGTGCATAGACATGCATGAAAAACACACATTTTTTTTTAAGACTCAAAGATTGAGGGTTGAGCGACATGTGACTGGATTCTTAGAAGTACATAATTTGCTGGGTGGTGGTGGTGCTCGCCTTTAATCCCAGCCTCAGGAGGCAGAGGCAGGTGGATCGGTGTGAGTTCAAGGCCAGCCTGGACTATAGAGTGAGTTCCAGGACAGTCAAGGCTATTTAAGAGTTAGAAGGACTTCAGGAAACTTGGCAAGAGAGCATCAATACCTCAGTGTATTAGCATGTTGAGGACAAAGCATAATGTGTCAAACTCACCTCAAGAGTGTGATGCTGAAGTGCTTTTTCATTAGCAATTAACTCTTTAAGAGTTGCAATTCTATTTTTATGTTTCAATAACTAGAAAAAAAGCATTTTATATTTTAGAGGAAAAGAAATAAAATTACCTGCTAGAACATTTACCATAAAGTCATGCAGCCACACCAAGTCCAGTCTTTAATGCTGGAATGATTTATTGATTTCACCACTTCCCCGATGAAGAGATTCTACAGCAAGCCCAAGACTGCTATGCTTAGCAAGACCAGCTAGCAAGTCACCTAGAGCCCTGATTTGCATGAGGTTTCTGTGGCCCTTGCTACGGATGACTCACTAGGCCAAACTCTGTTGTTCACAGCATGTTATGTAGACTGAACTCCTGCTTTCTGGTGGGTGGAACTTTGGTACATGATTTCCCCAATAAAAATTCTATGGGCAAGTGGTTTTCCTGAACTTCCCTGGTCTATTTGACCCTGTGATCACTAGTTAGTGCTGGGGAAATGATGTGCAGACTTCTGTGATTTCTCCAGGACACCTGGGGACCTGGTTCCTTCCAATGTGGCCCTACTGTGCCCTGGTAGCCTTTTGGTATAAGATGTCAGAGGTAGGGGTATAGCTGGATGCTGAGTCATGTTCAATGCCTGGAGTTCGTGGTGGAGGTGAGAACCAACTTCTGACCGCCACACATGTGCCGTGTCCCATATGCACTGCCCCAACATATACACATTGATAAATACGGTTAAATTAAAATGGAGAGACTCTAGGTACTTCTGCTCTGACCCTTCTTCCCAATGAAGAAATAAAGGGTTTGTTTTAAATGTGACCAAGTGAAAAAGTTTGAAGCTACTATAAGGACTGTCAAACTCCGTAGGAATCAGTAATGCCATGGGAAAATGAAAAAAATGTAAAAAATTTATTACACTTATGTGGTGTGTGTGTGTGTGTGTGTGTGTGTTCATGCATAGCCGTCAAAGGGAAACTTCAGAGAGTTTGTTCTTTCCTTCTACCATGTGGGTCCCATGGGTTGATTTCAGGTCACTGGGCATGGTGGCATGTGTCCCTAGCTACTGAGCCATCTCATCAGTCTCTGTGAATAAAATTTCCCAATGTAGATTTTTTTAATTTGAAAGCAAGTCAAATTTTGGCTAGTGTATCTACTTCTAACAAGCATAATACGCTAGTCTGGTCCCGAGCACTTCTTTAAAAAATCCAAAGCTTTAGAAGCAATGTTCTGTGATGTTTTAACTATTTCATCCCACTACAGCGAATCAGGTTTTAGAATGAAGAATACAGCACCTCTTTATCTAAATCTCTCTTTTGAAGCTGAAGGCTCTTCAGTTTTTGCAGCATTATGTCATTAGTTTTCTTACTATCTTGGCAATGTTCGGCGTCAGGATTGGTGATATCCTAAGGATAATGGTTTGAGAAACTAGATTGAAAAATTTTCTCTGAAGTGAAGGAAAACCGCCTTTCAGAAATAAGGGGCCAAAGGAGATAAATCACATTAAGTCCATGCTTCCAACACTCTTCATTATCTCACTAGGAGTTAATAGGAAGGCCTGCGCGTGACTCACACATGCATATACATTGCTATTAAGAGTGGATAGTGCCCAGCAGTGGTGGTGCACACCTTTAATCCCAGCACAGGAGGCAGAGGCAGGTGGATCTCTGAGTTTGAGGTCAGCCTGGTCTGCAGAGTGAAGGCTACACAGAGAAACCCCATCTCAAAAACCAATAAACCAATAAATAATAATAAAAAAAACATGGCAAGCTATGCATTCATATTTCATCTCAGATGAGTGTACTTAAAATGGAAGAAATGCACAACAGAAGAAAAAGCTAATTTGAAAAATCTAGCAAGTACACACCCTTTCATATTTTTTTTGTGATGTGCAGTTGTTGCCCAGGACAGGGCAAATATGGTTCCTTATTTAAGGAAACAGGCCGAGAAAGGTCATGTTACTTGGACAAGCCACATAACCAAGGTATGCAAGGCCACAATTTGAACTCATTGATAATTCACTTAAAAATCTATCTATCTATCTATCTATCTATCTATCTATCTATCTATCTATCTTTACCTGACATGTGAGAAGTCCTACTGTCAGGGCCAAAAGACTGTGAATTCTAGAGGCCAGTGGAGAAGTTCTCTTCATAGGTGGGAGTTCCGAGGTTTCTTTACAAGGTGAGCAATTCAGGAACAAATTAGAAGGTAGCCCCTTTTCACCCTATACGTACACAATTCAGATTTGTCATAATAAAGTCAGAGGATCCATATTAGCTTTTAAATAAGATGCTGGTAAAACACTATGTTTAAGAGTTCTAAAGCATTCTTCCTTGGGATGCCTTGATAGTCTTAAAATTTATTGAAAAAAAAACAAAGCACAACTTTAAAAACAAAAAAATATTGAGGACCATGTTTTTTATATTAGAAATTGTAACAGAATATTTTAGAGTGTTTGTTTACTAATTCATTTGGCTAACAATCCATTATGCCTCAACATAAATAGGCCTCTTATTAAAATTATGTTCTCCAAAATAACAATGTTAGTGGAGGAGCAGTTTTCTAGTTTTTGCAGTTTAGCGGGCACTGGGGATCAGCCTCAGGGTCTCACTTGTGCTAAGCAGGTACTCCTCCTATCCCTAGCTACAACCCTGGCTCATTTGCAACCAATTTTAAATCTATAGTTGGAAAGGCGGCAGGACTCTTATCTTGGACTCACACCCTGTGGTGATTTGAATCAGAATGTCACCAGAGAGTGACACTTTTTGAAAAGATTAGAAGGATTAAGAGGTGCGGCCTTACTGGAGTAGGTGTGGCCTTGTTGGAGGATGTGTGTCACTGGGGGTGGGCTTTGAGGTTTCAAAAGCCCATGCCAGAGCCAGAGTCTCTCCCTCTGCCTTCAGATCTTGTGAAGCTCTCAGCTACTGCTTCATGCCTGCCTGCATGTCGCTATGCTCCCTGCCAATAGGAAAATGGATTGAACCTCTGAAGCTATAAGCAAGTTCCCAATTAAATGTTTCTTTTTATAAAAGTTGCCCTGGACATAGTGACTAATACACATCCCATCAGCTTGGAGGGCAATTATGTCACCATACATCATACAGCTTCTAAAATACTATCCATCAGAGAAATAACAATGGGAAAAGCACTGATGTCTTTGAGAGCAGTCATCAAAGTTAGTATTCCCACGTGCAGAGCCAGAATCTTCACCACTTATCTACCCCTGCACATCCTTTAAAATGTTAAGAGCATGTTGCCTAGGCTGGCTTTGAACTTGGAATCCTTTTGCTTCAGACCCTAAATGTCTGAGATTATAAGCATGTGCAGCAACCCAGCAAGAATGTCTTTTTTCCCATGCTATTAGCTTAGTTACAAACATATATAGTATGTTATATGAGTTCCAGAGTCTGATCCACTTCTCAAACTGATTTTTCCTTTTAAGAACATTCTTCATCGAGTTTCCAGTCATGACCCAGCTACAGAGGAAACAAGATGTGACTGCCTTGCCAAAAGAGGTACCAAGACACGTGGCTAACGTAGACAAGAAATATGGGCTAATATAAGTTACAAGAATTAGTTAATTAAGAAGAGCCTGAGATACTGGGCCAATCAGTTTATGATTAATGTAGACCTCTGTGTGAATTCTTTGGGACTGAATGGCTGATGGCTGTGGGACTGGGCAGAACAGAAACCCCAGTCAACAAATGGTGCCCAACATGTGGACAAGTGTATTCACAGAAAACCTGAGAGAGCTTGGGAACAGAGTTAAGCATGGCTTCTTGGTAGCAGCAATTTCTTGACTTTTTTCTGCTTCCTAGAGGCAAGCACATCTCATTTAAGAGAGGCTTCCTGACTCTGCTTTTGCTGCAAAACCTTGCAGCTCTTTTAAGAGGTCCTGACACGAAACACTTAAATGGTGTTGATGAAAAACTGACTGCATGCTTTTGGTGGTGGCAGGGACCTTGAGATGCCATAGAATTGTGGAAATAAACATGGCTCTGGCCGGTACCTCCACCATGAGGCTAGAATCTCAGAAAGCTAAGAAATGGGCTGGATCCAGATGTTAAAGCCAAGGCTTTAATCATAGCCATATTGCTTAGTGAATTAAAGGCTCATATGGTCAGAAAAAGAGAGATATACAGTAAAGAAAGATTCAGATGAAGAAAACCTCTAAATGGCTTAGAGTGTGTTTAAAAAATATATGTAGGCTTGGGAGATAAAACAAAAAGGATAAATGTCCTTAAAAGAAAAAAGAAAAAAAAGAGTAGTTGGGTGTGGTGGCACACATATTTAATCCCAGCACTTGGGAGGCAGAGGCAGGTGGAACTCTGTGAGTTTAAGGATAACCTGGTTTACAGAGTGGATTTTAGGACAGCCAAAAGATACACAGAGAAACCCTGTCTCAAAAAGCTAAAAATTAAAAGAAATAGAGTTTAAAATAAAGCCATATAAAGATGGAAAACACATAGAGAATCTGGATACTATATGTTATTGTGCTCTCTTTGAATTGTTTGAATGCTGAGGAAGGAACAACAGCTGCTAAAAGATATTTGTTTATAAATTCTGCTGAATTAATCCAAGATAGATATTTTGAAAGTACCTTGACTTCAAAATTGAAGTCAAAAGGTATCTTACTTTGGAGAAGAGGTTTTGCTTTTGTTTCCACAGGAAATGAGAGACTGTGGATTCATTCCAGGTTAAGAAAAATTGAGTTTGCTCAAAGATGACCCCCTGAGAAATCTCTGTTAGGAGTGGATGGCCCAGATGTCTGAGTTTTACATTCAGAGCAGATTCCAAGACTACTGGCTAAGATGATCAAGCCTCATAGAACTTTTCAGTCAGGACTTTACCACAATTCTAACTTTTCTTTAGGTCCCTGTAAGATTATCAGCACCCCAAAATCAGCAGGAAGTAGCCTGAAAAACTATGCCCACATTCCCAAAAAATGGACTGTGGATATTTTCCTTTGTTTAGAATGTTGGTTACAAGTTGTTATGGATATTGGTCAGGAGAAACACTAAACAAAGGGTATTAGATTCAGAGTTCTTGTTTAAAAACAAAGGGGGAGTACTGTGAGACAACAGTTACTTATCTTGTCACTTGTATTATTTTTAATAAAATGCTGATTGACCAGTAGCCAGGCAGGAAGTATAGGCGGGGCAACCAGGCGAGAAGTAGAGGTGGGGCAATGAGAACAGGAGAATTCTGGAAAGAGGGAAGCTCAGTTTCCAGTTGTGATCCAGCCGCAGAGGAAGCAAGATGTGACTGCCTCGCCAAAAATATACCAAGCCACATGACTAACATAGACAAGAAATATGGGGTAATATAAGTTATAAGAATTAGTTAATAAGAAGAACCTAAGATACTGGGCCAGTTTATGATTAATGTAAAAATAAAAAGAACATTCTTTGTAGCTGTCAAATGAATAAAAATATTTTATTGTTTATTACATTTCATTTCATTTTGTGTGTGCAACACATGTGGATGTCACAGAACAATTTTGGGGAGTCAGATCTTTGCTTCTACCATGTGTATTCCAATAACTGAATTCAGGTTCTAAAGCTTGATGGCAAGTGCTTCTCCCCATGGAGCCATCTTGCTAGTCCCCAAATCGTATTTCTTAAGCAGTTTGTGTCTACTATAAAGGTATGACCAGGCAAAAAAATGGTTGCTCACACCTGTAATCCAAGCAACCAGGAGTCTAAAACAGGAAGATCACCACAAGTCTGAAGCTAGTCTAGGTTACATAAGAAAATCCTGTCTCAAAAAAAGGGGGCGGGGAGAAAAGAAAGGAGTAGCAGATGCAGATCGAAAGACTAGGACGATCATAACCAGTGACTGCCACTTGTTTTCCACTGAGAATAACAAATGCTTCCTGGGCCCTCATCTCTGGCTCTGATGCTCTGCCCCAGAAGGACTTTATTAGGAACACAGAAAAAAACACTGACATGGAAGGCAGAAGAAATAGCTACACCACACCAATAATGTCTTAATATTACTATGAAAATACTTTTGACCTCACAGATGCTCTCAGAGCATATTTTGAGAAAATGGACCTAGAATAAAGAGCAAAATGAGTGTGAATTTAGAGATGCTAAAGAAATTCTTTAGTCAAGATCAGGAGATTGACTTCTTTTTTTTTTCCAGTTATTTTCTCTCCGTTGGAATTCTTTTGTTTTTTTTAGTTTTATTGATTTTTATTGAGCTCTACATTTTTCTCTGCTCCCCTCCCTGCCTCTCCCCTCCCCTTCAACCCTCTCCCAAGGTGCCCATGCTACCAATTTACTCAGGAGATCTTGAGGAAATTGACTTCTTAATATGAAAACAAATGAAAAAAAATACGTCATGTTAAAACCATCTGGAAAGGAAGGTTCCATGATTCCAGCAGAGCTAAACTCAAGATCTCTGCTAAAGGGAGGCACTCTGAAGTGTGGCCCCTGAAACAACACCATCTCTTCCCCCCAAGGATTTTGCTAGAATATAATGTTCTCTAGCAGTCAACAAAGCCTCCTTGCCATGCTGCGCATGCCCAAGTTTGGGAGTCCCTGATCTAGGTAATTCCTGGAGAGCTCTTTAGTTCATGTGTTTTCAAAACTAAGATAACAGCAGTATTTTCCCAAAAATAAAAAAATAGATTTTACTCTCAAATAACACTTATAATTATTATGAGAATGACTCCATAATATGTTCAAAGCAATATACCAGTTCCATTCAAGTTGTTACAACATGAAAATCAACACAGTTGGGCACGGTGGCACATGCCTGTAACTATGTGGGAGGCAGAGGCAGGGAAATCACAGGAAACAGGAGGCCAGCTTGGTCTACATAACAAGACCATCTAAAGCCAACCGATCAACCAACATTTAAATAATAATTTTTAAGGTAAAATAGACTTGTCCAATTTTCTGGCTCAAACTGGCTTGCTTTCTTTACCTTGGCATACACTACCAGAGTTCCCAGACCAGCTTCCTTCCTAACCAGTCAACTGACATGATTTTACTTTACCTAGGCAGTGCAGTGGCTCAAACCTGCAAATCTAACACTTGGAGTCACAGGCATTAGCATTTTGAGCTCAAGGCCAGCCTGTCACAAGCCAATCAAAACAGATTTTCAATTTTACTCTACTTAGATTCATATACTTTGGCAGGTGGTGGTAGTGCATGCCTTTAATCCCAGCACCCGGGAGGCAGAGGCAGGTGAATTTCTGTGAGTTCGAGGGCCAGCCTGGTCTACAGAATAAGTTCCAGGACAGGTTCCAAAGCTACACAGAGAAACCCTATCTCGGAAAAAAAAAATTGTAAAAAAAGAAAAAGGAAAGAAAGAAAGAAAGAAAGGGAAAGAAAGAAAGAAGATTCACATACTTTAAGGAAAAAATATAATAGGTGTGTCCTGACTTGGGAAAACTACCCCTTCCTGGACATACTTTTAGGTATTTTGCCAAAGAAGACAAGCAAAACAAAGTCTTAGAATGACATTAAAAATTCAGTTTCTCTAAAGGTATTGATAAAAGGTTCCAATGCAGTGTTTTCAATGCTTTATAATTTTACAAGTAATATGTACTATAGTTTTACTTTGTAAGAAAAAGAACAATTTTATTGCTAAATTGGGTTTGAAACCACACTTCAAGAATTCTCTGGTAGTTGAGCCAGTTAAAATAAATCAGGCATGTCCTACAATTCCCCCAACAACAATGGAGAAGGAAGGAAAGGAAGAAAGGAAAAAGTCCTTTTTCAAAGGACTCTTCTAGAGATGATCCTCAGGACTCATCACGGGTACCCATAAAATTCCCAGGTTAATTGTCACCTCTACCAAAACCAACACAAAAAGCCAAGAATTATTGTTCTTTAAGGTGAGTGCCTAGAAACCAGTAGAAACGTCTCTAAATTGGTGGTACATTTCCTCTTCTCTCTATTTTTTTAAAACAAAATAAAACAAACAAACAAACAAACAAAAAAATCCAATTCCTCCTACAAACAAATGCCATATCTGAGTATCAAGTCTAAATGTCCGTAGCTAGACTACTGGAAACTCTGGGGGCTGTGTTAGACATTCGGCATCTGCATCAATACCTGGGTGCCATCTGGCTCCATCGCTTCCTCCAGCTGCTCTCTTGACTGAATTATCTCAAAGTTAGGGGTGCAAGTGTGCACCTCCCCCTTTGCAGACTGCTGCCAGAGCCCCATGTTTTCCTCTCCCAGCTCATCCACCTGCTGCTGGAACTTCGTAGTTTTAGCCCTCTCCTTCTCACAGGTGAAGAGCAAATTCTTCACTTGGGCCGTCAGCTTCTCAACTCTTGATTTCAATTTCCGCCTTTCTTTCAGGTACTCCTTTTCCCGCTTCTGGAATTCCTCCTGAAAAGACAAGATCTCTTGTTTGCGGGTCTCCTTTTCCCTTTTCAACAAGTTCAAAGCGGAACTGGTAGCCTTCTCCAGCTCTCCTTTGTGTCGCTGCAGTCTTTGCAGCTCTTCGTCTTTCTTGCTTAGGGTCTTCTCTATCTCTAGGTACTGACTGACCAATCTGTTTTTCTGCTGTATCTCGGCGACGTACCTTTCCTGTAAATGGACATAATGGATCTTGATCTTTTTAACCTGGAGCTGCAAGGTCTCCTTGTCTTTCTTGGTTTCCTGAAGATGCTTTTTGGTGTTAGCCAAAACCTCCTGCAGATCCTGGAATTTCTTGTTGATATCATTCTTCTCCAGGAGTACGTTGTATTTGTCATCAATTAACTCCTCAATGTTCTCCTTTAGTTTATTTATGATGTCAGCAAAAACTTGCTGTTTGGTGACCTTCGTCTGTAGTTCTTTAACCCTGTTTTCTAAGTACAAATTCCTACCGTGGAGCTCTTGGATCTGCATTTCCTGTTTCTTGTTAATCTGTTTTAATCTCTGCAAGGCTTCATTTAAAGCCATGTCCTCTTCCAGGGGCTCCAAGCTTTCAAGGCTTAGCTCCCTATCAGGCATCGTGCAGTTGTCCTGAGATCTACTCTTGGAGATGCCCGCTGGAGACCAAGGAGTTATGGCCAGGCTGTCTACACCGTCCTCTGTGACTTGCTGCTGGTGACTACCGGACGTCTCGGAAATCTCCCCAGAATGCTGTATTTCTTTGGAAGAAACTTCAGGCTGTAAATTACAGTAGATAGAATCAACGTGAAAGAGTAGACTGCTGAGTGTAACTCCCATCTGCATGGCAGACAGAAGCAGTAGGCGTACGCAAGAAATGTCTATCCTATTTACTGAGACAAAAGAAAAAAAATCTATTTGGACTCTCATCATCTTCTATGATGTAAACCCTGGTCACATACAAGGTATTTTTTTTTTTGTTTCAAAAATCAATTAAGCAACTGTATCAATTACCCTATAGACTATAAGATCTTTTGAGTAAAGAGCTTTAATAATATCCTGCTTAGAACATTACTTCATCCATGCTGACTCCTGTGAACATTAGAATGGCAGACATACTTCATGATTGACTTTATGCCCACAATACGTGTTTGGTGGGGGTGTACGTAACAAAAGACTCCACAATTGTGGTATAGGACCCTGAAATGAATATCAAATTAAAAACCATTTATGAAGTATCTGTAGGGGCAGTATTATATCCACCTAGAGATGCTGAGCCCCTTTACTTTTAACGGCTTTTCATTGCTCTGGGACAAAGTCAGTTATCTAACCAAGATTCCCAAGATTCCACTAATTGCTATAGATAGCAGACCCTACCACCCTGTCCTCATCCTCATCCTCATCCATACCCCTGCTTCCTGCAGCCCCATGTTCCCTGGACTCTAGGCTTCCTTGAGGTCCTAGTAGGTATCATAGACCTTACAGATACAGGAAGCCCATAGATATATTGTTCCTTATTCATGAAATGCTTCTCAACCCACAATTGTTTGATCCATCAGAGCTCAGTCCAAGGACTACTTCAAAGAAGCCTCCCCAGACTCTCTTCGCTGGTGAAATACCCTCTGCAGAGGCAAGCATCAATCTGTGTAGTGCTAAGAGTCTAGTGCACAGAGGTTTGTGTGATTACTTGACTAATATCTGTCTCCCTTACTAGGCTATTTTCATGAAGACAAGAGCCATGTGCTTTTCTTGCTGGGTTGTTTTTAACATTCTATAACTATTACATAGTCTGTTCTAGTACATAACAGATTCCTGGAAATACCTAATGACTACGTGAAAAAAACTAAATGCAACGGGGAAAGAAATAAAGAATCTTGAGAAACCTTAAATAAACAGATCTTGGAAACTGGTCTCTAGAAATCAACATGCTAAGCTAAGTTTTCTTTCAAATGCTGCTAATTTCCAAATGAATGAACAGAACAACCTGCTCATAGTCATAGACAGGTGAGTAATACCTTTTCTTATGAAACTCATAATGAAAATGGGATATTTACACTCCCATAGGACTAAACTCTTCTGCTGAGGTTGTTCAGAGAATACACAGACTTGATGTCTTCAGCGCTGTTAGGATATCACCGGTGACCACAACCAATGAAACCCAAGACAAGTAAATATTTGCTCTTCCAAAGAAGTCCAAAAGCACAGACAAATCTTTGGCTTGTTTTGTCATATAACTAATAAACACCTCTACACAAGCTCCCTTTCTCAGCCTTTCCCACAAGGCCATCTCTCGAGTCTCAGCTAGTTTGCTGTGGTGCACGTTAGAATGCATCCTACTTAAGGCACCATGTTGATACCACGCCGTGTACATATTAAGGAGCAGGACGGCGAGTCATAATCCTTAGCGAGATCACACTTCGGAGACCTACTCTCTAGTTACAGCCTGATGTGAAGACCCCTCAGAAGCACAGGCCCTTGAGCTGATCAGACGATTTAACGATATTTGGAAAGTCTCAGCTTCTGTGTTTTTAAACAATAAAAACACCCCTGTATCTGTTAACATGCCACAGGCTTTCATGACCCCACCGACCAATCTTACCTCCTCTATTTCATTATCAGTTCTCAAGTCAAGCAGGCCTAAGCAATCCTCAGTATCAAATGAACTTTCACCGCTAGCACAGCCATTTTCTCTACGCAGAAAGCTTTGAGGCTGACTGGTGTGGAAGGCGACATCTACGACAGTGCTCCTAGCCAGCGACTTTTCCATCAACGGCTGCGTCTCTCCTCTGTAGTAGTTTAGAGACAGACTTCTAGATTTCCTGACGTGCTCATGAACAAGTTGGTCTTGGTTTTCGGAAATCCTAGTTTCCAACGGATTCTCTCCCTCAAGTGCGTAGGGCTTCTCACCGGCGTCCACTGTATTATACTCATGGCTTTGCAGCTCAGGCTTCTCCAAGGAAGAAAAGGCCTCGCTCAGGTCTTGAAATATCATCTCATCATTAAATGCTTCTATCCAGTGAAATTTGCAAATGGGTTCAAATTGTCTTGAGGAAGAAACCCTAGTGTTAGCTGGTTGATTCTGTACACCCTCTGAGTAATTCCCAAGGTTGATATCTTATTAGAAAAAGAAAAAAGATAATGAGTTACCATAAATTTATAGAATAACTGTTACACTTAAAATAAATGTTGAGGTCTCTCTCTCTCTCTCTCTCTCTCTCTCTCTCTCTCTCTCTTGTTTTGTTTTGTTTTTTGAGACAGGGTTTCTCTGTGTAACAGTCCTGGCTGTCCTGGAACTTGGTTTGTAGAACTGGCCTCAAACTCACTGAGCTCCACCTGCCTCTGCCTCTCAGGTGCTGAGATTAAAGGTGTGAGCCACCATCACCCGGCTACTTTTCCTTTTTTATATAGCACCTCACTACTGAGGTTAAGACAGCCTCAGACTCATCCTCCTCCTGCCTTTACCTCCAAGTGCAAGGATTACAGGAGTGTGCACCAATGCTTGATTTAGGTTTCATCCCTGGCACCCTCAAGACAGCGCACAACTGTCCAGGGGATCAGATGCCCTCTTCTGGCCTCTGAGAGCACTGCATGCATCTAGTGTGCACATGCATGCAGACAAAACATTCAAACACACAAAATAATATATGTGTACGTATGCATATAAGTATATATATATTCACGCTTTGAAAAAGGACAGGGTAACATAATTTCAAACACACAAACATGTTTAATTTTTATAAGTTTACAATACTGGAGAGGCAGAAGCAGGCAGATTCATTCCCAGAGCTCACTGGCCAAGCTGGTCTAGCGAATTGGTTAGCTGGTTTGGTCTGAAATTCTGTCTAAACAAATTAGGTGCCAAGCAATAGAGGAAGACACCCAAAATTGACCTTTGGCATACACAAGTGCGCACGTGCACACACACACACATGCACACATACAACGCCCCACAAGGTTCAAGTAAGTCAACTGTAGAATAAAAGACAGTGTAAATGCATTTTCTTATCCTTTCTCCTATTAACTGACAAATTCAGCTGTTTAAAATAGTCGAGTTCTACACAACTAACACCTCATCAGCTCTCTGAAAACCTGCATGTGCTAAAAGAAAACTGCAGGGCTTGGTACCATCTATAACAGCCGTACTGACTACTTAGGGAAGCTGCAGGGTGCCATTGATACCGTAGATACGCTGGAACCTGATTGTACAACACCATTCCTGCTTTTCTAGTCAGAGACGGTAAAAAGAGATGAAGTATGGCTCACTGAAATATTGAACTACTTCGAGCTAGCAAATGAGGTCTGAATGACATGCAGCATTTGAGATAGCTTCAAATTTCAAAATGCCTTACAATCTCCCAGGTAAGCTATGGTAACTACAAACTATAACATTTTTACAGAAATAGCATGACTATATCAATTCTTAGAAGTCTTTCAGGACTGAAGGGAGGGCTCAGTTGGTAAACACTTGCCTTGCAAACACAAGAACCCGAGTCCAACACCCGGGACCCACATAAAATGCTGGGCATGGTGGTGCATGCAGCAGCATGCCCTTATAATCCCAGCACTGGGAAGGCGGCAGCAAGAGTATGTCTGGGGCTCACTGGCTTGCCAGTCCAGTCTAATTGGGGAGCTCAGAACAATGAGAGACCACGTCTCAAAGAGGATGGGAAGCCTTCCTGAGTCCTCTGGCCTACACACATGCCTGTGCATGCTTTAAGATGCATATATTAAAAGGCATTTTGGAAAAAGTAATAGAGCATTTGCCTAGCATGTAGGAGTCACTAGGTTTGACCTCCAGCGCTATAAAATAAAACCCTCCAGTCTTTAATTTCAAATTTTCCTTCTGAGACTCAGCCACATAGATACATGTAGATCTAATTCACTATACTGACAAATTACATTTTTAAATTTTACTTATTACTTAATTTGTTCCTAATGTTGCTGTCAAAACCAGCATGCTTTTGAACTGGACATCCTTGTACACTTGCATGTCTTATCTCCCGGTATAGAGAAATGGAAGAGACAGGTTCTAGAAAATGCTCGTCTTAAACTTTGTTAGATATTGTGAGATCACTCTCCCAAGCAGTTGTATCAATGTATGTACTTCTTCCAGTAATGAAAAATAGTTCTTTTAGATCACCTGGGAGATGGGCTCTCTGCATGTCTGTCTGGGACTGTCTTGGTTATGGTCATCTTTATGTTCACTACAGTTAAGATCTTAGCTGTAGTGGAACCTTTCCCTGGACAGGGATCTTGGGCTGTTAAGGAAGAAAGAACAAACTGGACAGTAGTAGCACACACTTTTAGTCCCAGCACTCAGGAGGCAGAGGACAGACAGCCCTGTCTACAAAGAGAGAGAGAGAAAGAGGGGGCAGGGGAAGAGAGACAGTGGAATATTATTTTAACTATGTAAATATGTGATACATTTGTTTAATTATGTAAAGATGTGTTGCTCTTTCACCTTGCCTGATTGGTCTAATAATAAAGCTGAATGGCCAATAGCTAGGCAGTAGAGGGTTAGGTGAGGCTGGAGGGCAGAGAGAATAAGGAGGAGGAGGAATCTAGGCTCTAGAAGAGAAGAGAGGAGGAGAGAACATGGGAGAGAGAGACACCTAGGGCAGTCGGTCAGACACAGAGTACGACACACAGAATGAAAGAAAGGTAAAAAGCCCTGAGACAAAATGTAGGCGGCAATAACACGTTAATAAAAATTATAAGAGCTAGTGGGACACACGTAAGATAAGCCTGAGCATTCATAACTAATAACAAGTGTCTGTGTCATGATTTGGGAGCTTGTTGGTGGCTCAAAAAAGCCTGTTACAGAGACAGAGAGAGAGAGAGAGAGAGAGAGAACAAACTAGCACTTAAAAAAATAATTTATTGGTAGCTCCCGACTATAGATGAAATTTGGCTGTCTGCCTCAAGTTCCTGCTGCTTTGAATTTCCTGTTGGACCTTGAACTGTGTGCTAAATAAACCCTTTCTCCTTTAAGTGTTTTTTTTTTTGTCAGTATTGTTTTTATTTATCTATTCTTGTTTTTTGAGACAGAGTCTCACTAAGTCTTGGTTGGTCTGGAACTGGCCGTATGAACCAGGCTGATCCCACACAGAGATCTGCCTGCCTCTGCCTCTTGAGTGCTGGGAATAAAGGGATGTGCCTGGTGAAGCCCTAAGTCCAAACATTTTAGAACGTAATTATTTTGAGACTGTATTTGGTCTTTAAGGAAGTGATCAGGCTCAAATGTCATGAGAAGTGTAATTCCTAATCCAGTGGGGGTCCTTACATGAAGAGAAAGGCACTGCAGACCAAGGGCCATGGGTGAGCACAACAGAGGAGTGGCCACCTTCAAGCTGAGGAGAGAGACTGAACCTGGGCTCAGGGCCTCCTGTGTAAGTCACACAGCCTGTGTTAATTCATACCAATCCTAGAGAACAAAAGCATACTTTCCGGGTTGTCTATTGAGTTATGTGTTGTTTTTTGTATTGGAATTCTTTATTTTGGGATATCAATTTACTGTCAGTTATATATATATTGTAGATATCGTCTCTCAGTCTGTGCTTTCAGCCTGTGGTTTCTAAATGGTTGATTATACTTTGATCACATATTAGTTTCTGATTTTGATATTATCAAATGTATCAATTATGGTTTGTATGTAAATGTCAAGAAACATTTCTCTTTCCTATTATCATTAAAGCATTTAAGTTTTTGTTTTATTTATTGATGGTGGGTGGGTGTGAGTGTGTGGTGGGTAGGTGTGTGTATGACAGAGAGAGAGAGAGAAAGAGAGAGAGAGAGAGAGAGAGGGGGGGGGCATACAAATGAGGCATGGCATGTGTATAAAGATTGGAGGTGATTCTCCCATCTGTGCCTTCCCTCTTACTGCACAAGTGCTGGGATCACAGATGTGCACCACCACATCTGGCTTTTTACAATGGTTCTGAGGTCTGAGGGTTGAACTCTGGTTTGCTCAACTAGTACCTTTACCTGCCACATCTTTGGCCCTAACTTTTCTTTCTGGAGTTAAGAACATTGTAGCTCACTGGTAGGCCATGACCCCATGGAATTAACTTTTGAATCTGGTGTATCTTAGAAAACTAACTATTCTAGCATAACTAGATAAGTGTATTCTTACCCCACTGATTTACAATCACACTTCTAACAAATCTTGTTGCTATGAAGCCCTCAGTGGCGGGGTAATTATATAGCCCAGACTGGCTTAAACTCTTGATCCTCCTGCCTTATCTCCTCAAGTGCTGGGGTTTGTGCACACACCATCATACCAGGCTCAACTTTTTTCATTTCTAAATGGGAATACCAGGATTCCTAACGATAAGTGTAATTACGTTAATTCGTAGCTGTGAGAAACTGAGTATGCAGCATCTCTTCAATTCCTAGGTTCTCCACCAACTTTCCCTATCAAACCTGGCACGCCTTCTGTGCCATTTGTTCTCGGGTATTTTAGTAGCGCTATTACTGATAATAGTTAAAATTTTAGAAAGAGTTTCATTTATGTGTATGTGCCTCCATGAGTTTATGAGCATGCAGGTGCCGATGGAGAGCTGAAAAGCGTGTCGGGGGCTTCTGGAATAGGAGTTCCTGGCAGCTGTGAACCCCTAATGTGGGTGCTGTGAATCGAATCCGTCCTCTGCAAGAGCAGTAAGTGCTCTGAACTGTTGAGCCATCTCTCCAGACCTAAGCATTTCTTTTGAAAGGAAATTCCTGTTAGCACATTGTAATGCTATTAGTTTTTAAAATATTGGCTGATCATTCTTCTAAATTTTTATATTGGGTCTAGGAGTTTCTAGGCGCTTATGAATTTCTTATGTAGAAAACCCACGTTTACAAATGATTACTTCCTATCTTTAACTTAAAAATGATTATTATTGTATATATATGTGTGTGTGTGTATATATGTATATGTGTGTGTGTGTGTGTGTGGAAAGGCATGCCACAGCACATGTGTGAGGTCAGTGAACAATTTTGTGGAATTCTCTCCTTTCTTTTTGATGTGGGTCCTGGGAATTGAACACAGGCCGCCAGGCTTGCATAGCAAGCACCCTTATCTGCTGATCCGTCTCATGGGCCTTTCTAATCCCCACACCACTTTCATTTCTTACACCCATGCATATTGAATGCTACAGCAAGGTTTGTCAGATCTTTTCAAGTTACTATTCTTTATAGTTATTAAAACAGATTTCTATATGCTATTTGGACTTGTATTGATAAATATGGTCAGTGCGTCTTATGACTAGCTCTTAACTTGTAGGGCTAGCTTTTAACCCAATATCAATTTAAACCAAAAATAATAAATTTTGGTCATATCAACACCCGTCTCCTAAAATTCTTGTGTGGTATTCTAGTGTTTGAGACAACTTGAATCACAGCTTGCTGATTAAAGATACATGACGCTGGGCAAATCAGATTCTTAATGCAAAATGGAAATAAAAAGTACTCTTATTTCAGAAAAAGAAAACCCCAACATTTCATAGGATTATCTGTGGTTTACTTTAATAGCATATATAACATGCTTATCTCAGAATCTGGCTATTACCGTTCTTACCACAGGACACAGTTTTCCTGTTTTGTATATGGAACCAAAAGGAAACTTACCCCCTAGCAAACTGTCTTGAGTGCTATATATATCTTCAGAGAGCGTGTGTGTAGACTCATTTTCTCTTTCTGCATTTTTTGTTTCACCCTGCATAATAATTTAAAAAGCATTATTAACACTTCAAGAAAACATCGGCTTCTTCTAAAGGAGTACATAACTTATTATATAGTTTTTTTCCTTTTTTGGTTTTTTGAGACAAGGTTTCTCTGTAGTTTTTTTTTAAAGATTTTATTTATTTATTATGTATACAACATTCTGCCTCCATGTATGCCTGCAGGCCAGAAGAGGGCACCAGATCTCATTACAGAAGGTTGTGAGCCACCATGTGGTTGCTGGGAATTGAACTCAGGTCCTCTGGAAGAACAGTCAATGCTCTTAACCCACTGTAGTTTTTTTTTTTTTATGAGAACTTTTTGTTTCACAGGCAGAATGTGAACTTTAGCACATTTTCCACTTCGTATTCAGAACTTTGTTTGCTGATCACTCAGGAGAGTTACATAAAAAGAAAAGTAGCCTGCTACTCAGTATTCTTTTTAAAAGTGAGATTATCTATCTCTAGTCACAGGGATAGATGAGAATGTTTATATCTCTTGTTGATCATTGTTGGGGTCTTTTAGAGACAGGGTTTCACGACATAGTAATTTCAGACTTTCCTGAAATTCACTGTGTAGACACAGCCTTGGATCCGTGGTTATTCTCCTGCCTCATGCTATCCAGTGCTGGGATTATATACGTGAACAATCAAGTTCAGCATGGGTAATTATGCCTTATCCAGTCCTATCATTTGGGCATGCATACACACACCATGAGGAGTGTGGAGGGCAGAGGGCAACTTTGGGAAGCTGATTGTCTTTCCTTCCTCTTTGTTTTTTTTAATACTATTTATTTATTTATTTATTTATTTATTATGTATACTATATTCTGTCTACATGTATGCCTGAAGGCCAGAAGAGGGCAATAGACCTTATTACAGATGGTTGTTAGCCACTATGTGGTTGCTGGGAATTGAACTCAGGACCTTTGGAAGAGCAGGCAATGCTCTTAACGGCTGAGCCATCTCTCCAGCCCCCTTCCTCTTTGTTTTGAGTGAGGACCTCTCCTGCTATTTCTGCCATGATGAGTACTCCAGGTTACCCAGTCTGTGAGTTTCGGGGCACTCTCCAGTCTCTGCTCTGTGTCTCACAGTAGGGGTGCTGGGGTCACAGGTACACAGTACCATCAAACCTGGCTTTTTACCTGGGCTTTGGGGGTTGACCTTGGGTGACCAGGCCTGAGTAGCAGCATCTTTACCTGCTGAGTTGCCTTGCCAACCTCAGCTCAGCTAATTCTTTAATTTTTATTAAATCTTGTCTAAACAGCACTAGAGTAGGAATGCTTTTTTTGTTAACTAGCTTTTTGTTTTGTTTTGTTTGATATTGAAGATAAAATAAGAGTTCCAGTCATGAGGTGACACCTGATTCCCCTACATAATTGATAACCACACCCAGGTCTTGTTCTCTATGTATTCTTAATGCTATACAAAAGGGCAGATTAAATTAGTCTTAGAAATAAGATAGCATAGGGAATATTCAAAATTTTTGACAAAAACATTTGGTTTTATCATAAGTAGTATCACATATCTCAAATAAGTGGATCTAAATGATGCCCTACCTCATAGAAGCAGGCCAGCTTGAGCAAAGGAGTGAAAGCTTGTCTCAAAAAACAAATGAATACATAGAGTCTTAAGGAAGAACTTCTAGTGTCACCAAGCTCTATTCAACAGTATAGAGTGGCCCTGTCCAATAAGAACCACTACAGCTAAATGCAGCTTGTTACCATCCCTCCTAATCAGACTTAAAATTACTACGGACCCACAGGACCATTGGCATGCCTTCAGATTGTATTTCATATTTCACACAGTTCTTTGGGGATCCTGATTCTCACAAAATTTCATGGATAATTTGAGCTCTAGTTTTCTCTTGTATTCTTTAAAATTTTTCTTCTTAAGTTCTATGGGTATGGGCGTTTTATCTTCCTGTATATCTGTGTAACACGTGAGTGTCCAAAGTCTAAGAAGGCCAGAAGGTGGTGTTGGATCCTATGAAACTGGTGTTAACAGTTGTGAGCCACCATACGGATGCTAGGAATTGTTCTTGGGTCCTCTGGAAGAATAGCTAGCTCTCTTAACAGTAAAGCCATCTCTGCAGTCCCCACTCCCTTTTCTTTGAAACAGGGTCTCACAATGTAGCTCTGGTTGGCTTTAAAGTCACATAGATCCCACCTACCTCTGTCTCCAGGTGCTGGGATCATGGGTCATTCTGTCAGGATATATATATATATATACACAGTAGATCTGGAATCACTAGGCAGTTGTGAGCAGTTGGATCAGGATGCTGAGAACAGAACTCAGGTCCTCTGCAGGAGCTGACTCAACGTCTGAGCCCATCTCTTCAGCTCTGATCTTACCATTCTTAACTAAACATTTATTTTGCTCCTTTGGTCCACAAATTTATTATAATAAATGTTCAGGATAGTTCCTTATATAATTTAAACCATTCATTTTTCAAAATGTAGAACTATAGCATCTCGGACTCTGGTTAACATTAGACATTATTGAAAAAATAAATAAAAAAAAAGCCAAGAATGGAGGTTCAGGAGGCAGAGGTCCATAGATTTCTGTAAGTTCCAAGTCAGCATAGTACACATAACGAGCTCTGTCTGGTCAGTACTACATAGTTACATAGTGAGATCTTGTCTCAAAGGAAAAAAAGGAGGGAGGGAGGAAAGAAAGGAGCGAGGGAAGGAGGGAAGGAAGGAAGAGAAAAAAATATATTAAATAATCCTGGGAGCTGGATATGGTTCAGCTCTTCCAGAGGACCCCAGCACCCACTAGTGAATGCCTCACAACTGACTTTAACGGCAGTCCCATGGATCAGCCATCCTCTTCTGACTCTGTGGACACTGTGTGCACATGGTGCATAGATATACACATAGGCAAGACATCCTACAATAAACAATTAAAAAAAACCTTGGCATGATAGAGAATACTAAAAACTCATTACATAGGAAAAACTAATGTGACTATTTTTCTTTTTCCTTTCCTTTTTTTTTTTTTTCTCTGAAGGGCTGGAAAGATGGTTTAGTAACTGCTTAAGAGTACTTGATGCTCTTCCAGAGGATCCAAGTTCAGTTCCTACTACCCACATTGGCCGCTCACAGCTGCATCTAACTCCAGTTCCAGCGGATCTGGTGCCCTTTTCTGGCCTCCAAGGGGTACCTATATTTGACTGAGCTGGAACCGTGTCCCCTAGCTGCATGCCTGGAACTTCATGAGCAGGAAGGTTCTGTCTTAGCACTGTGTCTGTAACACCGAACCACCTTTTGTACCCCAAGATAAGAAAACCAGGTCCTGCATGCCCCTTTTTCTGTGTCCACTGGAGTTTTTCTGTGTCCACTGGAGATCTTTTACCATCCCTCATACCTTTGGAAAAAAAATGTTCACATGAGAGCAATCTGGGCAATCTCCTCAAACTTATTACTGCAGAGTGCACACCTGAGGCCAGCCTGAAGCAATCGAGCTAGCTTCTATACAGAAGAGCAAGTCTGAGTAGGAGATGTCTTGAGGAGGCCCACTGACATCTATTGTTTCAGATTCTGACATGCTTTCTAAATTTTCATGGAAAGTCTCCACTTCAAAATGTACAGGATCTGAGGATGACGGCAAGAACTTTCCCCCTTGTTTTTGCACTGCCAGGGATGATGACCAAAACTTTTGAGAGTCCTTATTTCTAACTGCCGAATGATGGAAGGCGTCTTCAAAACAAGCAAACGAAAAGACACGCTTTTAGTGTCAATCAGTACGTGAAGAGACTTTCTTTACCCCTCTTCACAATAAGAAAGCAACAAAGTGGGGGGGGGGGAAGCTGGAAAGATGGCTCAGAGGTTTAGAGCACTGGCTGCTCTTTCAAAGGACCATAGTTCAATTCCCAGCAACCACACTGCCCCTTAAAACTGTTTGTAACTCCAGTCTGGAGGATCTGAAACTTCTGGTTTCCTTGGGCACCGCACACATGTACAGAGACATATATCCCATACACTTAAAATAAGAATGTAAAAAAATCAGTAAAGTTCACTACTCCAGATCTGAAAATCTCTCTCTCTCTCTCTCTCTCTCTCTCTCTCTCTCTCTCTCTCTCTACTTTGACAGGGTTTCTCTGTGGCTTTGGAGCCTGTCCTGGAACTAGCTCTTGTAGACCAGAATGGCCTCGAACACACAGAGATCCACCAGTGTCAGCCTCTCATGCCTCTCGAGTGCTGGGATTAAAGGCATGTGCCACCAAAGCCCGGCTTAAAATGTAATTTTTCTGATTTAGTATTGCAATAAATAGTGATTTGGCCAAAAGAAGCCAATGTATGTAGTGTCTATCCAATAATGTTCTACAAAGTGAAGGAGTCTATTATTTCAAAAATACTATCAGAAACTTTTGTTTTCATAAAATACCACCTTTCTGCTCAATGCCATCTCCTTCACTACACTAAATTAAATTCAACACTGTACAGGTTTTCCACACCACACCTGTTGTTTCAAAAAACTAGCGTTGAAATTTTATTTTTAGCTTTGTTTTGTTGAGACGGGGTTTTTCTATAGCTTTTGGAGCCTGTCCTGGAACTTGGTCTGTAGACCAGGCTGGCCTCAAACTCAGAGATCTGACCGCCTCTGCCTCCCGAGTGCTGGGATTAAAGGCGAGAGCCACCATCACCAGGCTCATTTTGTTTTCCAGAGACATTCTTGCTATTATGTAGCCTGGGCTGCCTTCAATTTGTGACAATCCTCCTGCCTCAGCCCTCTGACTGTTGAGATTATGCAGCACCACCATGACATTCAGCCTCGGTTTCCACTTTTGTTTTGGTTTACTTTCTGCATGTTTTGCAAGAGTCTGGAACACTGGAGGCGTATTAGTAGTCCTGTCATCACCATGGCTACTGTCATCAAATCGTGCCCATTTTTTCCTTTATAAGAATTTGTCCATAATCCATGCTTCATTCCATCTCCTGTCTTCACTGATCTGCCAGGAGGTAGGATAAGTAGGTCCAGTCGCAGAGTCCAAGTCTTCTACTTGTCCTTGGGGGCATTTCAAACCCACACACCCACATAATTTACTCAGTGTTACTCCATGTTCTAGCAGATCAGGCTCCTTTCCCTACAAAGAGATGCTTTCTACCATCCCAGCCATCTTCCCAAGTCCGTGCATCTCCTAGAACTTTCCTTGCTTTCTGTTGCCGTGACTAAACACCAGTCAAAAACAACCTGGCTACTACTTCTGGTTCACAGTCCGTCACCATGGGAACTCCAGCAGCAGAGAGGTAGCAACAGGGACACTGCTACCTTTTTAGTTCCTGCACAGCCCAGGCCCACCAGTTTCAGGGATGGCAGAGACCACAGTGGGCTGGACCCTCCATCATTTAGTAATGAAGAAAATGCCCCAGAGAAATGTCCACAGATCAGTCTGATGGAGGCAAGTTCCCAACTGAGGTTTCCTTTTTCCAGATGTCTCTAGTTTGCACCAAGCTGAAAAAAGACAGCACACCATCCATCTGGTTTTAAATTTTCTGTGGTATTTTATTAGTCTTATTTGTCATTGTCCTCTCATAATGCATCATTACTACCCCAAGGGGATTTTCCACTTACACATTATAATCGTCTGGCAAGGAGTTTATTAACAGCTTTTTTTTCATTTTTGGTTTTTCAAGACAGGTTTCTCTGTGTATCTCCTGATATCCTGGAACTCACTCTGTAGACCAGGCTGGCCTCAAATTCACAGAGATCTGCCTGCCTCTCCCTCCCTCAGTGCTGGGATTAAAGGTGTGTGCTACCACCACCTGGCTATTTACAGCTTTTCAATACTTCCTACCATAAACAGGCCAGCGTTAGTCTTATGTCTGCCCTCCTCTTTCTCTGCCCCCACTAACTTTCCTTTTATTCTTAAGGATTTTTAATAATGTGTATGTGTTTGAATCTGTGTGGGTCTGTGCCTGGGATTCAACGTGTCCTTGGAGGCCAGAGGTGTCAGACTCCCTAGAGCTAGAGTTCCAGGAAGTTGGGTGTCAAGAACCAAACTCGGGTCCTTAGTAAGAGCAGTATGTACTACATATGTATTATATACATACTACATATGACAGTATGTAATAACGGCTGAGCCCACCTTCTTAGCCCCTAATCTTTGTATTGATAATTTCCTCTTTCTACATCAAGTGGGAGTAGATTAGACTGGGCTTTTAAAAACCTTTTCCACTCACAATCTTCTTTTCTCTGAAATTACATGTAAATAAAATACCCATGACAAATCATACAGATATTTATTTTAAAGCAATTTTTGTATACAAGTTAATTTTACCACTTGTTAAATAGGAAAGCAAGTTTACATATTAATCAGACATTTATCTGACGTAATACCATCCAAATACTTTGCTATTTGTATGCTGAGGAATGCCAGCAGGAAAATATTAAGTCTGTTTTCCGCAATGAAACGATTATTTCTGTAAGACTAGAAAATTGCATGTACATAAATCCCTGCAGTTCCTAACATGTCTGTCTCACATCTGAAGGGAGGTATTTCAGGCAGTGTTTGCTGCTGTGGCTTGGTATAATGGCATGCACAATACAAGCTGTGGGATGTTATCAAAGGTGAAAATTAGCTCCAAAACCACAGAGAAACCCTGTCTCGAAAAACCAAAAAAAAAAAAAAAAAAACCAAAAAAAAACCCAAAGGTGAAAATTACCAGACAACCAGCAGATTCATTACACATTTTATTTATTTATTTATTTGGTTTTTCAAGACAGGGTTTCTCTGTAGCTTTGGTGCCTATCCTGGAACTAGCTCTTGTTGGCCAGGCTGGCCTAGAACTCACAGAGATCTACCGGCCCCTGCCTCCCAAGTGTTGGGATTAAAGGCGTGTGCCACCACTGCCCAGTTCATTACACATTTTATTATGAATCAATCTTTTGGGTGTCAAGAATTTATCATGACCCCACTTGCCGACTCCCATATGGGGCCATGATCCTCAGTTAAGAAACTCTGGCCTACACAGTTAAACTACGGCTGAAAAATATCCTACATTCTAGTGACTTATTATCAGATTGTCTTACAGTCAGTAAGCTTACAGTAGTACCTATTTGCATGAATGACTTTGTTTTTTTTTTTTGTTTTGTTTTGTTTTGTTTTGTTTTTGGAGACAGGTTTCTCTGTAGCTTTGGAGCCTGTGCTGGCACTAGCTCTTGTAGACCAGGCTGGCCTCGAACTCACAGAGATCACCTGCCTCTGCCTCCCAAGTGCTGGGATTAAAGGTATGCACCACCACCGCCTGGTCTGAATAACTTTGTTAATTATTTAATTTACTAAAGATGTTTTCAAATCGATGTCATCACGTGGTCAAGCATGAAAGACTCCACCTTCTGCTCACCTTTCCTGTCTTGCAAATAAATTCTACCTGGGGGATTGATGACAGGGATGTGAAAATCTTTAAGTCGTTTTCCAGATGTAAAAGGTTTCTCTTTTCCATGGACCTGTGACTTGCAATTACACTTTAAAAAAATTAGGTAACTCCCCTGGAACTGGAGTTTGAGTAGTTGTGAGTGGCCCACCCAATTGGGTGCTGGGAACTGAACTCCCATGTTCTTAACCACTAGGCCATCTGTTCCCATTACGTTTTTAGGTTTGTTCATGCCTCCTATAACTCTGGATAATCTGCCAATTTACTAAAAAAAAAAAAGATTTTCCATCTTTCACTTTTAAAAATACTTATTCAATGTTCAGTTAGTCGTTATATCTAAAGTCATTTTTTGTTTTTGGTTGTGGGAGGGGGGGTGGATTTTTCGAGAGAGGGTTTCTCTGTGTAGCCCTGGTTGTCTTGGAACTCGTTCTGTAGACAAGGATGGTTTCAAACTCAGATTTCTCTCCCTCTGCTGGGATTAAAGGCGTATGCTCACGCCCCTACACCAGACCCCGCGCCGGTGTGAGATTTGCAGTAAGGGCCCACAAGAGGGCTAAACGCGGATGGAACAGCGCTGACGACCTGGATTCGGTTCCTGGAGCCCAAGGTGGAAAGAGCGAAGGCTCCCAAAAATCATTCTCCGACCTTCACACGTGCGCTCGCGTACAGACGAGCTCGCGAGCGGTTCTACATACCATTTAAACAAAATAATAATAATAATAATAATAATAATAATAATAATAATAATAATAATAATAAAGCAGTGAGAAAGCTCACGAGAGTTCCTGCCAAATGTGAAATTTTGAACTTAGTACTTCAGTGGAGTAACACCAACCTAAAAACAAAGCCAAAACCACTTGTCCCATTTGCATCTCAAAACAACGCACCAACGTTTCTAGGGCGCAAAAGTGTGCTCACTTCCATGATCCATAGAGCTTCTCGGCCCCAGGCTGAGGATTCCGGGTTTCCTCCGGCACACGGGGTCCGCGGGAGGGAGACCACCTTCCAACCGTCCCCTCCGAAGGCAGCCTCCAGCTGGCTGTGTCGCCGAGAGCTCGAACGTCCCAGTGTGACGTCCTCTGGACCTCGCTGCAGTCCGGAGGAAGGAGATCAGAGGACGCGAGTCTTCAGGAGCAGCCGGGGGGGATAACAGGCCTGACTTTCTGAGGCGGGAAACGCCGTGGGCGGAGCAAGGAGAGGGTGGGGAAGAACCGCCGCCACACGCCCTCTCCTACCATCAATGAAACACGCCCACTTCACAACGCGGATTGGCCATTCCGGGCCACCGTAAAGCACTTGCTCCTGGAGGGCGGTACGGCACGGAGCGGAACTGCGTGTGACTACTTCCGCCCCTGAACTTCCGGCATTGAGCTTTATAGAAGTTGTGTCTCCTGTCACTCCGCCGCGGCTGGTTGCTGCTTTGGGCCTGGCAGTGGCCGAGCGATTTGTGTGAGGCGGGACTCGCGGAGACGCCGTTGGGTTAGCCAGGTGAAAAGCCGTCTTTTCCGCTTGTGGCCGCCTCTCTCACCATGGACTGCAGTCGGGATAGGATGGTCGCGGTCGTGCCCGGGCAGTTCGACGACGCGGATGCGTCCGACAGGTAGGCGGCCGGAGACCACACACGGACTCCTTAGGCTCCGCAGTCCTTTCCGGGAGCTGACGCCTGACGGGTCGGGACTGTGGTTTCCTCAGGGTCTGTCCTTACGGCTGGGCAGGGCGTGAAAACTTCTTGTCAAGGGAGGGAGTCTGGGTTCCCGGAATGGTGGACAGAGAAGCAGAGTTGGGGATAATTGAGAATCGTAGGGCTCCCCCGCCCCTCACATACAGGGTTCCACATAGACTGAGCAGACTTTTGCCTCCACTGGAGAAAGTGATGGATAAGACAAACCAAGTCTCTGCTGTCTGTTTGGAAGGGAGAACAGACGCAGATGGTTTCAATGGAACGGATGCCTTCGGCAGGAAAGAGCCAGGTTTAATAGATCGGGAGACCGCTCGTCTAACAGATGGGGCTCTGATTCCATCTCCAATACTAAAACCACACACACAAAAAACGAGTCTAGATTAAATGACTCGAAAAAGCAGAGGAGAAACAACGTTTGAGGCCAAGTGGCCAAGTGAAGGCTCTGTAGTGGATTCCTCTTGGCTATGAAACAAAAGCGAGGGGCCAGAGCCTAGAGGGCAGCGGGGAGAACTGAGGCCGAAGGGAGACAAGCCAGGTAGAGCCTCACAGGTGCCTGAGAGGAGTCGAGATACTGACTGTTCAGGTTTTATAAGGACAGAGGAAAGCTTTTAGCTGATCCAGGGAGTCAATTGATTTTATGAATTAATGGAACTGGTCAGTTACATAAAAGATATTCTTGGAAAGTAAGAGTGGAACAGAGAGCTGGACGTTGGTGGCACACGCCTTTAATCCCAGCACTCGGGAGGCAGAGGTGGGCGGATCTCTGTGAGTTCGAGGCCAGCCTGGTATACAGAGCGAGTTCCAGGACAGGCTCCAAAGCTACAGAAAAACCCTGTCTCGAAAACAAACAAACAAACAAAAAGACTAGAACAGAGAATGAATTAAAACAAACAAAAAAACCCAGGCTCAAACATGATGGCTCCTAGAGCTGTGGCCATAGGATGATTTTGCAGTAGCAGTTTCGAGGTTTTGTGGTTAAGTTGAACGTGTGATCTGATGAAAGCAGTGAGATAACTTCCCATTAAAAAGAAAAAAAATTAAATATAGTCATTTTGAAGCAACAAAGAATTTTATGTATTTTATGTCATGTAGATGTTATCCATCAATTAATAGTGATATTGATAAATATATATGGACCATGCTGTGTGTCATATCTAGTGTTAGCTACCGTTTTGATTGACAAAAAAGGTTAGGGGAAGCTGGTATTAATAATGAGGCAAATTATTTGTGTTAAAATTAAATGGTGAATATTGCAAAGGAAAAAGGGGTCAACAGTAACATATAGTAACTTAGTAGAGGATGTGTGGGGTTAGCAAGAGAAATTAGAGAGTTCCAGTCTTTTGGTTCTAGATCCTCTCGTAGGAATTCTTGCTGAAGAGTTTTAGTGGGAAGAAGAAACAGCCTGCTTTACTGGGCAGTGTGTAATGGAAATGGTGGTGTACCGCGTACCTGCTATCCGCTGGGAGACGGGATTCTGCCACTGAGCCACAGAGACGTGGCAATCTCCAGACACATTTTTGTATGTCACACCTGGGCTGGGGGTGGGTTTTACTAGTGGCATCTGAAGGTAGGTAGAGCCTGGCAGTGCTATCGCTGCAAGACATTCTCACAGCAGAGATTGCCTAGTCGGGACTAAGGACACCAGGATCATTTGCACAGTAGTGACTTTAACCTACCATTCTAGGTTATTAGATTAGCTAAGTGAAGGAATCATTTGTGTTTTATACGTAAATGAAGTCCTAGTAAATTGCAGTTATTTAATGATTGTCTCGCTTTTTCCCACTCATGCCCATAGGCATTTGAAGCCCAGTGAGCTGTAGCCAATTAATACATTGGAATTGATAACTGAATTTATTTAAAAAAAAAATACAAGGGGCCAGGTGTGGTGACAGTGCCTTCAATCCCAGCACCCTGGAAGCAGAGGCAGTGGATCTCTGTGAATTCAAGGCCAGTCCTGCCTACATTGTTTGCTTCAGGTCAGCCAGAGCCACACAGGGAAACTCTGTCTCAAAATAAAAATAAATAAATAAATAAAAAAGTTGGGGGTGGGAAGGAAGAACTGGGGATTTAGTTCTATGATATAGAGTGCTTGCCTAGAAAGGACACAGCTCTGGGTTCAGTCCTTAGAACTAGCGGGGAAATGGCTATTTTTATGGTCAGATGACGGGATACACATCTTTAATCCCAGCACTAGGAAGGCAGAGGCAGGTGGATCTTTGAGTTCAAGCCCAGCCTGGTCTACATAGCAAGTTCCAGGCCCTGGCTACATGATGAGACACTTGTCTTTTAAGAAAAGGAGTGGGGATATCAGTTCACTAACTGTTTGCATGCCATCCTTGCCAGAAACCCACGCTGATGTCGGTATTGTTCCTGCTGTATTTATTGTGTGATACTGAACTACACACCATGTCTTTAACTAGTGCATAGTATTAGTTGTTTTATGTGATGACTGGCCTGCTCTTTGCATGAAAGATCAAAGCTGGTTACAATTGTTTTGAATTTGGTGGTGGATGTGTTTTGTTTGGGATGCACAAAGTTTTATAAAAATTGAACCTGGCTCTGGGTGTAGTGGTGCACTCCTTTAATTCCGGCATTTAGGAGGCAGAGACAGGAGGATCTCCTACAAAGTTCCAGCACAGCTGGGGCTACACAGGGAATCCCTTTCTCAGAAAAAGAATAAAAAAGAAAAAAAAAGATGAAGATGAAACAGATTAGGAAATGTAAGGGAATCTTTTGGGACAGGGTTTCTCTGTGTAGCTTATAAGCCTGTCCTGGAATTCACTCTATAGACCAGGTTGGCCTTGAACTCACTAGATTGCTTGCCTCTGCCTCTTGAGTGCTGGGATTAAAGGCATGTGTCATGTGCCACCATTGCCCAGCATGTCAGGGAATCTTTAGGACTGTATGTATGTGTATGGTTTTCTCCTTAGAGAATGTATAAATATGCCAGAACATTCTTATGTCTAGTGAAAGCATGGAAGTGAAGTCAATTCAAGCAAAAGATGACACAGTACTTCAGAACCTTCAGAATGATGTGACAGAGGTGAAGGATGAAGGTGAGATCGATGAGGAAGACAACTATGATTATGACAGTGATTGGTACTGGGATGATGGAACTGGAAAACTCACCAAGGGTTGTACCGGGAATGGAGGCAGTAACCCTCAGGTATGGAAGTCATTCTGTGAATCTGTGTGTGTGTTTGCATGTGTGTGTGGGGGGGGGGTGGGGGGCAGATATCTTCCTCTTTAGTTCTCTACTTTATCTTTTCTTTGAAATTTCAGGTAATTTCGGCTTCAATTGTGATATGTATGTGTGCTGAATGTTAGCTGTTACTTTTGGTTGCTGATGATTATAGCAATTGTTGTGTTGGGTGTGCAGTGCATGCTATAATTTATTTTAAAATGGTGGGAAGGAGAAATGCCATGCAGCAGGGCTCACATAGGAGTGACCTGGGTTCAATTCCCAAAGCCTACATGGCAGCTCACAACGCTCTATATAACTCCACTTCTGATGGATCCAGTGCCCTCTTCTGGCCTCTATGGGCACCAGACACCATGCAGTGCATATATATGTAAGCAGGTGAAACATTCATACATAACTAAATCATACATAACAAAAAATTCATACATAACAAAAAACTGCATTAAATTTAATAGAAAAATTTTAAAAGATTATTTATTTATTGTATTTATAGGGTTCTACCTGTCTTTTTAAGCTTTTTATCTTAAGCTTTTAATCTTTTAAGCTCTTTACAAATAAGACAACCCAGTCCGAGTCTCATGCTTAGATACAGTAAAACTGAGTCAGCAGTTATTCAGAGCCCTCTATATCTGTGCTGTATTCTCTGAGTGTTTTGTGGTGTTTCTGCTTCTCTTTGGCATCATTTAAGGTCATGCAGTGCACCAATATAAGTGCTGGCTGAGACTCTTTCTTTCCCCTTTTCCTTTCTTGAGATGTCAGGATTATAATTACTAGAATGAACTTAATGTTATCTTTAGCTCTTTATTAAACACTTTGAAGGTAAAAGAATATTCCCAAGTATCAAATCTATAAACTAATTAAATAAAAAATAAATCTAACCTAATTATTATTCATAATAACAAAAAAATACATTGAAGGGAAGTAAATAACATGTGACCTCTGTTCTAGTTAGTAATCTTAGCCTTCTCTTAGAAATGCCTTACTTTTTTATGTTTGTGTGTGTTTTGTCTGCATATATCTATATCTATACACCATGTGTATGCAGTTCATGAAATGCCTAAGGAATCCAGAAAAGGGTTTTGAATCCCCTAGGCTGAAGTTACAGACGGTTATAAGCTGTCACATGGGTACTGGGAATCGAATCCATTCTGGAAGAGCAGCCAGTGCTCTTAATTGCTGAGCGATCTCTCCAGCTGTAAAAACCTTTAAAAAAAAGTCTTAGAATGTGTTTTTTTGTGTGCTCCTGTATGTAATGATGCTTTAATGACTAATTGAACTGGGGAAGAGGAGATGATGGTTCAGCAGGCAAATGCACTTGGTGCCATGCCTCACAACCTGAGTTCAATTCCTGGGATCATCAGGGTGGAAGAAGATCAGCTCTTAAAAGTTGTCC